GCCAGGGCACTTCAAATGGCATATACAACTTGAATTGTGTCAATCTTGCACTCGGATCGAGACAACAATTTGCCGATAATTATACATATGTCGCCCATTAATGTTTTTCTTGTATGTGAATATATTGACTTTTTTACAAACAAATGATTTTTACTGAGAATTATAAACTGATGATATGGAGATAAATAACCACCAATACAATACCAGTACAAACTGGTGATATGGAGATAAATAACCACCAATAAAATACCAGTACAAACTGATGATATGGAGATATATAATCACCAATACAATGCCAGTACAAACTGATGATATGGAGATAAATAACCACCAATACAATACCAGTACAAACTGGTGATATGGAGATAAATACCCACCAATAAAATACCAGTACAAACTGATGATATGGAGATAAATAACCACTAATGCAATACCAGTACAAACTGATGATATGGGGATATATAACCACCAATACAATGCCAGTATAAACTGATGATATGGAGATAAATAACCACCAATACAATACCAGTACAAACTGGTGATATGGAGATAAATAACCCCCAATACAATACCAGTACAAACTGATGATATGGAGATAAATAACCACTAATACAATACCAGTACAAACTGATGATATGAGGATAAATAACCACCAATACAATACCAGTACAAAATGATGATATGGAGATAAATAACCACTAATACAATACCAGTACAAACTGGTGATATGGAGATAAATAACCACTTATACAATACCAGTACAAACTGGTGATATGGAGATGAATAACCACTAATACAATACCAGTACAAACTGATGATATGGGGATATATAACCACCAATACAATGCCAGTACAAAATGATGATATGGAGATAAATAACCACCAATACAATACCAGTACAAACTGATTATGTGGAGATAAATAACCACCAATACAATGCCAGTACAAACTGATGATAGGGATGGGAAATTCCTAAATTATCAGCCTTTAGTTTTGGTGAAAATGGTTCACTCCAATATGCATGTTCAGTTCTCTTATATCATTTTTTTCTCCGTTTAACAGATGAAATATTTCATCATGGCACTTTGGCCTGTTTGAATGTGGAAGGCCTTGAAATTGGGGTGCAGAAGGCCAGGGAATGTCACAGAAATTTAAAAAAAAAAAAAAATGCAATTGTTTTTGTTTTATGGTCATAAAACATAAAACATTTTCTTCAAGTAAATCAACCACATGCTTTCTTATTATATCCATGTGTTGGCATGGTTACCTTAACAGAGTGTATGCAATACACCTGGTCGTTGTTTCTAGTTTATCTAAAGAAGGTTGTATGACATGGTCTGTGATCAAGTTAAGTATTTACTCTCTGTCTTATATTTCCCTGTCTACAGTCTGATAATTTTGCATGTTTATGGGTATCAGTTAATAAACTTAAGCTGTGTTCAACTCTGCCTCTAGTGTTACTCAAGCATCAGTGCACAAAAGGCGTACCACTGGCCTGATGTTGTTCGATCTTTGGTGCAGGGTACTGAAGATCAAAATCAGCCATTAACATTGGGTCTGATGCATGTAAAAGAGACAAGTTATGGTGTTCAAACCATACTGTACACAGAACAGGTGTACATGTTATTAATGTTGGCGTGACATATATACATGGATGCATGTAAAAGAGGCAAGTTATGGTGTTCAAACCATACTGTACACAGAACAGGTGTACATGTAATTAGTGTTGGCGTGACATATATACATGGATGCATGTAAAGTTTACTGTACACAGAACATGTGTACATGTTATTAGTGTTGGCGTGACATATATACATGGATGCATGTAAAGTTTACTGTACACAGAACAGGTGTACATGTTATTAGTGTTGGCGTGACATATATACATGGATGCATGTAAAGTTTACTGTACACAGAACAGGTGTACATGTTATTAGTGTTGGCGTGACATATATACATGGATGCATGTAAAGTTTACTGTACACAGAACAGGTGTACATGTTATTAGTGTTGGCGTGACATATATACATGGATGCATGTAAAAGAGACAAGTTTGGTGTTCAAAGTTTACTGTACACAGAACAGGTGTACGTGTTATTAGTGTTGGCGTGACATATATACATGGATGCATGTAAAGTTTACTGTACACAGAACAGGTGTACATGTTATTAGTGTTGGCGTGACATATATACATGGATGCATGTAAAGTTTACTGTACACAGAACAGGTGTACATGTTATTAGTGTTGGCGTGACATATATACATGGATGCATGTAAAGTTTACTGTACACAGAACAGGTGTACATGTTATTAGTGTTGGCGTGACATATATACATGGATGCATGTAAAGTTTACTGTACACAGAACAGGTGTACATGTTATTAGTGTTGGCGTGACATATATACATGGATGCATGTAAAGTTTACTGTACACAGAACAGGTGTACATGTTATTAGTGTTGGCGTGACATATATACATGGATGCATGTAAAGTTTACTGTACACAGAACAGGTGTACATGTTATTAGTGTTGGCGTGACATATATACATGGATGCATGTAAAGTTTACTGTACACAGAACAGGTGTACATGTTATTAGTGTTGGCGTGACATATATACATGGATGCATGTAAAGTTTACTGTACACAGAACAGGTGTACATGTTATTAGTGTTGGCGTGACATATATACATGGATGCATGTAAAGTTTACTGTACACAGAACAGGTGTACATGTTATTAGTGTTGGCGTGACATATATACATGGATGCATGTAAAGTTTACTGTACACAGAACAGGTGTACATGTTATTAGTGTTGGCGTGACATATATACATGGATGCATGTAAAGTTTACTGTACACAGAACAGGTGTACATGTTATTAGTGTTGGCGTGACATATATACATGGATGCATGTAAAGTTTACTGTACACAGAACAGGTGTACATGTTATTAGTGTTGGCGTGACATATATACATGGATGCATGTAAAGTTTACTGTACACAGAACAGGTGTACATGTTATTAGTGTTGGCGTGACATATATACATGGATGCATGTAAAGTTTACTGTACACAGAACAGGTGTACATGTTATTAGTGTTGGCGTGACATATATACATGGATGCATGTAAAGTTTACTGTACACAGAACAGGTGTACATGTTATTAGTGTTGGCGTGACATATATACATGGATGCATGTAAAGTTTACTGTACACAGAACAGGTGTACATGTTATTAGTGTTGGCGTGACATATATACATGGATGCATGTAAAGTTTACTGTACACAGAACAGGTGTACATGTTATTAGTGTTGGCGTGACATATATACATGGATGCATGTAAAGTTTACTGTACACAGAACAGGTGTACATGTTATTAGTGTTGGCGTGACATATATACAAGTCATATTCAGTGAAGGGATTTGTTTAAATATCCTAAAAGTTCTAACTAAGTTCATAGCTTGACAAAGGGACCAGTCGACCTTAAAGCGTTGCGATATCAAAAGATGTGTAAAGTAGTGTGGTTTTTCATATGTTATCAAGGACAGATCTAATAATCAAAGGATTCTAATCACATTTGTTCTCGGCAAAAGAGACAATTGGATAATTGGGAAAATTCCCTATAGAAAAAAACTGATGTCCCTACAACAGTGGTTGTATGGAGAAATGATCTAGAGGTACAGAGTGTAACTGATCTAAGTGAGGCTCAGTTTTATAATTTGAGTTGTGAAAAGATATGTGCATTGTGTATGATATTGACATACCCAGGAGTGACAAATGTACAAGTTGGATAAAGTTGGGGATGTGTGTGTATTTATTCATTGGACAATTTAGCTTGATGAGCCAAACAAGTTTCAACTGATCAATGCATGACTTACGGAGATCTCAGTAGACATGGACGTCGAGTCTCCTCCAACCATTCTAGGAAATAGGAAGGCTAATAAAGCCAGGGACAGGAGAAAACTCAACTTTGTAGTTGATAAAACACGAAGGAAATTGAGATTAACAGGAGTGCATAGGTAACAATATATACTGTCAAATGTAATACTTCTCCAAACCCACTTGTTGCCCCGGGCCCCTGGCCTTTAAAAATAAGTTTGTCCAGTGTTGAGCTCTTCCTTGTACACTAACATCTGATTGTTATACATCTATTCTCTTGTAATTATCTTTCATTGAAAAGACCACTAGTCTAGAACCTCTGGAAAAAATTTACCTTTATTTGCCATTAATCTTGATCTTCATGCTGATAGACTACTTAATCAATTGATGGCGAACCTGAATCTTTATAAGAGGTCTTTTATGTATCAAGTCAGACAGGTATTGCTTGCTACACTCAATGACCAATACAAAAAAATAAATAAGACACAGATATTCTACTCCTCATATAATGTAACATATTTGAAAATGCAGCAAATCTGCTGGACGCCAGATCTTTAGATGAAAATCACTTACTGACAGTCCAACAACCACGAAGAACAGATCCTGCATACTTGAATTTATTCTTCAAATAATAATGGCATTAATTTTAACGTTCAGAATATTCTGATTGCTCTTACTATCCTCACATGCTGCACAATTGGTAACAGTATTGGTCAACAATTTGGTAATAACATCATTTTCTGAGAGAGAAGATACCGTACTTGATGTACGAAAAAATATCTTTTATACCTACCGCAATTTTTACAAAGATTTCATTTGATAATGCGCTTTTAAATAAACTAGCAACTGTCTTATGGGATAAAGTGTCAGTCATAACCCCTTTTTTAATCGAATTTTACATAAAATTTTAATATCACTTGTCAAAGATGTCATTACCTCTCGAGTCTTTACGAAAACACACTCCTCCATAACGTTAGTTTACTCATTGTTATTACATATTTGTTTTAAAGATACATATATCCAGTGGTCAATGGGGAAACGCATTACATTTTCTTTGTGTAACAATTTTTACCGCAACGCAAAAATGCTACATAAAAAAAAGTGCCGGAATTTGTAGCTTACTTTTTGATGCCAGGTTTTAATGAGGTCACGCTCGACAGCAATGCAGAACGCCATTTTGAATGTGCACGGTTCTCAAAACATTTTTGCCGTTACTGCTATATAATATCTGGTAAGATTTTCAAACAAAAATGTGTAGTTATGTAAATACACTGTACCTTAATGTGTGTTGCAAAAACACAGCTTCAACTGAACTTGAAACTAAAAATCTTAGTAGTGAAGAGAAAGCATCATTCTGATTGGAGAATACTAAGAACGCTATTTTGTGAAGATATAACATTTCTCACACTTGACTGCTGTGAAGATAAAATATTCTAATCAAAAGGAGAATTCATGATATTTCACTAGTAAAATGTAATAAATACGGATATCGTAGGGGTTAACTACTATATTTTGTAGATAGTGTGCTGCCTCAATTTCCCTGAAGGCTTTCACGCATGGGTTAAAGCACCAGAAGTGTTTACAGATCCAACCATGCGGCGTGAACTTGATACTTTAAGGGGGTTTGAAAAAAGCAACGAAAACAAAATTTCTGAATGATCCTTAAGACTTAAATTGATGACACATTTGAAGTGTTGACAAGAAAACACTCAAGCGGTTCTGAAATAATTCAGCCTACGGTGATTTAGGAGAATATGGGAGATATCTCCAGTAAGTTTGAAAATTTTCATAATTGTATTTTCTTAAATCCAGGATGTTACTTTTAACACATTTCAGATGTAAAGTAGTATAACCTTTGCCTATCCATCTCTTACATCAGTTAGTAACACAGATAATTTGCCTATCCATCTCTTATATTAGTTATAGTAACACAGATAATTTGCCTATCCATCTCTTACATCAGTTAGTAACACAGATATTTTGCCTATCCATCTCTTACATTAGTTAGTAACACAGATAGTTTGCCTATCCATCACTTACATTAGTTAGTAACACAGATATTTTGCCTTCCATCTCTTACATTAGTTAGTATCACAGATAATTTGCCTATCCATCACTTACATAAGTTAGTAACACGGATATTTTGCCTATCCATCTCTTACATCAGTTAGTAACACAGATAATTTGCCTATCTATCTCTTACATCAGTTAGTAACACGGATATTTTGCCTATCCATCTCTTACATCAGTTAGTAACACAGATAATTTGCCTATCTATCTCTTACATCAGTAAGTAACACAGATAATTTGTCTATCCATCTCTTACATTAGTTAGTAACACAGATATTTTGCCTATCCATCTCTTACATTAGTTAGTAACACAGATAATTTGCCTATCCATCTCTTACATTAGTTAGTAACACAGATATTTTGCCTATCCATCTCTTACATTAGTTAGTAACACAGATATTTTGCCTATCCATCTCTTACATTCGTTAGTAACACAGATATTTTGCCTATCCATTTCTAACATTAGTGTAGTAACACAGATAATTTGCCTATCCATCTCTTACATCAGTTAGTAACACAGATAATTTGCCTATCTATCTCTTACATTAGTTAGAAACACAGATAATTTGCCTATCCATCTCTTACATCAGTTAGTAACACAGATAATTTGCCTATCTATCTCTTACATTAGTTAGAAACACAGATAATTTGCCTATCCATCTCTTACATTAGTTAGTAACATAGATAATTTGCCTATCCATCTATTACATAAGTTAGTAACACAGATAATTTGCCTATCCATCTCTTACATAAGTAAGTAACACAGATAATTTGCCTATCCATCTCTTACATAAGTTAGTAACACAGATAGTTTGCCTATCCATCTCTTACAGAAGTTAGTAACACAGATATTTTTAAAACATTAATTATCTTGTTTATCACTTAAAAACAAGTTTTTTTAAATATGATTCAAAATCTCTCAAGATTATTCATGTGTACAGGGATTTGTCTGGAGTTAGTGACAGATGTTTTGCATATTATAGATCAATGATTTAGGGAGAGCTGAATCTTACAGCTCTAACAGACATTATGTAAACGAATCTGATCAATAATCTGTGCACTCAACCATAAAAACAGTCATGACAAAACAAAATGTCCAGAAGTTGTTCCGGACGACCTTTTAAACAGAAGCTGTCAGATAGCATTAACTGGGGTCTACCTGTACTAGTAACTACTGGGATCAGCTATACTTAACTGTTTAGGATCTTTCTGCTGTACTCAGCTTGGCTGACATATATACAATCCCTGAATAAATTACAGCAGTACAAATGTTTTGTTAGGTTTGGTTTACTGTATATATATGTTCTTTCTTTACATCAGTGTATGACTGTGCATGTCCATCCACGTGGCACGTACATACAGGTCGTGAATATAGACTCCTTGTTTTGATGACAGTGAAGAGGTAAAGCTGTCCAGCTACTGGCTATATACATGCTGTAGAGTTGTACAGTCTTCTTAGTTTCTGTCACATGTTAAAATTTTGGTCTATAATATGTTGTTGGAGGGTTCAAATTATTGCCGTGGTGTACATGTGTATGTTCATGTGAGAAGGACTAGTTTTTGCGTATAACCCCCACTAGATGGACCTGTTTTACGGTGTATCATGGACCAGGCTCTGAAGCGGAGGTATGCAGACACAAAGTAGGTCTTGTTTTGTGTCTTGGTTCCTATCTTCCCCCAACACAGTAAAACAGCAATACATTGAGGCCATTTCATTTGCCACCATTTTTTAATTGTTAAAAATGGAACTGTTTTTGACTTTTCAATTATCCCAACATTTACTTCCTTAAATCTCCCTTAATGTATTTTGAAACTCTTCTATAACACCGTATTACGTTACCTCCTGTTCCAACATTGACGTTATAACTTAGGTTCTGCAGTAATAATTCACACTCTGTTACATTCACACTCAGAAATTCAAATATTTCCTTGTAATTGTTTGTTGATTGACATTTACCTGTCGTCTTTCGGTTGACCAAGTACAGGTGCGAGACGCGTTATGTTTATAGTCACTGTCAGAATGTCAGTCACCATGTAATATACTGTACCAGGTGAAATGTCTCCATTAGTAACATGCTTCCTGTTTGTAGGGGTGTAAAAATCTACTTGTCCAAATCCTGGGACAGTTGTACTAGTTTAGAACTCGGGCAAGTGCAAAATGTTTCCTAAACATATTTTTGCGCAAGCTGTTCTGTTTCCCTAACAGTAGGTGAATAAATAAATAACTGAACAGTGTGACTTAAAACATGAAGCGCAAGGTAAGATCTTGAAGAACAACTTTATTCTTTGTTTTTGTAGTAAAATTTGTGGGAAGAATTCTAGCAGGTTTCTATCAGTTCAGCCAAATATGTAGACATTAAGACTGACGAAAATATTTGAAATTCCAACTGAAATATGAAATGGAGATATATAAAAGACTTACTTATTGAATGATTGCATCTACTAGTGAACACTTGATGGTCATCGTTTTACTTGTGAAAAATATCTTTTTCAAGTAGGAATTAACAATATTGTGACTAAATAATTATAACCAGTTTTATTTATTTATATGTGACAATTTGTCAGTTGTTCCTAACGTTTTGAAATGTCAGCATTAAGGCAAAGACTTGAGACTTACATATATTGTGTATCACATAAAACTACCTACTGGTACTCAGATCATCAGTGACATAACACCTATTACATCAGTTATGTTATACATTTAACAACACCTAATGGAACTGTGAGTCGCTGGAGGGTCCCATTGGTTCATTTGTGATGGTACATCTGGGACAACTTTATGATGTCACGTACTTCCATTTGTTTGTGACTTTACAAAGTTTTCAAATCTAACACTTTCAGGTTTATACTCTGGTAGACCTGCAAATGTTTATTCTGCCTGAAAGCAGCATCAGATGACAAGGTCCAACCTTATTTAATAAACGTACCACTTTGATCCAACCGGTTCAACCGTTCAGATAGGGATAAACTAAAGCAGCCTTGGTATTTTTATACGCCCGTCAAATTTTGACGGGAGTATTATGGTATTGGGTTGTCCGGCGTAAACTTTTGTTTGTCCGGCAATCTACTCCTACATTTTTCGACCGATCTCTTTGAAACTTGGTATACATTATAATCATGATATGAAGTTATGTCTTCCTTAAAAGAATTTTGATTCAACAATTTTTCCAGAAGTTATTGGCCTTTGTTCATTTCAGTATTTTGTTTTTTTGTCCGGAGATCTCCTCCTACATTTTTTGACGGATTTCTTTGAATCTTAGTAGACTAAATAATCATGATATGTTGTTGTGTTTCCTTAAAAAGAATTTTGATTCCACAATGTTTGCAAAAGTTATTGCCCTTTGTTTATTTCAGTATTTGATTTTTGTCCGGCAAACTCCTCCTACATTTTTCAACAGATCTCTTTGAAACTTGGTATACATTATAATCACAATATGAAGTTATGTCCCCCTTTTTTGATTCATTGATATTTGTTCATTTCAGTAACAATAACACTATATGGCATTCGACGGGCATATATTGTTCTGCCCGGCGGTACTCGATCTTGTTAGGTTTTGAATAAGCCTCTGCAAATATTATTTTTGAATAATTTGCAACAAATCTTGTATAATAAGTGTATCAATTAGTAAATGGAATACTGACCCACATATCTAACTAGTTACGACAACAATTAATGGCGGTTGACTATTTATCATACATAGTAGTGTAGCATACAGCTGGGACATACCTATAAAATACTCATTATAAAGTCACCTGGAAGACGACTTGATTGATGTGGACAGGAAGGCACTCTGTCAAGTGTTGTAGTTGATGTTCTTGTTGAAATGTTATTCCAGCTTATATGGGATTTTTTACTGTTTGTGGGATAATATTTTCTTGAGATAAAACCTATCTTAATCACTGCTGGCCAGAAAAGTAGCATTACTCTAAGGTTATGATATTTTAGTACTGCACAAGAATTCGGGAAACTGATATCTGTCAGAGAACGGAATCATCAACAGTGATTACTGTCTTATTGTGATTTATATATATTATTAGCTCACCTGCCCGAAGGGCAAGTGAGCTTATGCCATGGTGCGGCGTCTGTCCGTCTTCAACTTTTGACTTTTAACAACTTCAACTAAATAACCAAAAGGCCCAGGGTACTGATATTAGGTCTGTAGCATGCTGGGATGAAGGGCTACCAAGTTTGTGGAAATAAATTACCTTGACCCACTTTCAAGGTCAAAGGGGTCAACGCTCGTAAAATCTTCAAACGACTTCTTCTCAATAACCAAAAGGCCCAGGGTACTGATATTGGGCCTGTAGCATGCTGGGATACCAATTTTCTAGGTCACAGGGGTCAAAGCTCGTAAAATCTTCAAACGACTACTTTTCAATAACCAAAAGGCCCAGGGTACTGATATTGGGCCTGTAGCATGCTGGGATGAATGGCTACCAAGTTTGTTAAAATGAATGACCTTGACCAATTTTCAAGGTCACAGGGGTCAAATGTTTTAAAATCTTCAAACAACTTCTCAATAACCAAAAGGCCCAGGGTCCTGAAATTAGGCCTGTAGCATGCTGGGATGAAGGACTACCAAGTTTGTTCAAATGAATGACCTTGCTCCACTTTCAACCTGATGTCCTTGTTCAACATTCAAGGTCACAGGCGTCATATGTTTAAATCTTAATAGGTTCTTATGAATCAAACACTGATATTTTGCCTGTAGCTGTATTTTAGTCCACTTTTAAGATTACAAGTGTGAGATTAATACCAGGTGAGCGATGCAGGCCCATTGGGCCTCTTGTTTTATAATACTGTAATCGTATTAATTTTAGTGTACTCAGATTTAAGCACATTATTGGATTTTTAGAGATTACAACTTCATTACAGAATTATATTTAAAGGTATATTTAGTAAAAAAAAAAAAAAAAAAAAAAAAAAAACAATTTGTACAACCTGACATTTCCATACACTTTCCAGAAAACTTCTGATTTGAATTTCATTCAGGTGTATATGTCATTTCGTTAGTTCCTCTGCTTTGAAGTGACATTGAATGAGTTTCATTATGCTGTGATTTGGTGACTGTTCTTGACCACTGTGAACTTTACTTTTAATAGGCTACTACTCCAGAACAATTGAAGAGATTTAAGCTAAATTTTGTTGTGAAACTTTCTGGGATGAAGAGGTTTAATATTGTATAAATGAATAATTTTTCCCACTAGGGGGAAGAGATAAGGGGCTCCATAGGGGAAAAGGGGGATAATCTTTTAAAGACAATCTAAATGTGAAATGAAAGGATTGGACAATTTAAAAATTTAAGGTATAAATTTGCTTCTCACAGGAGCGTATCTAAAAGAGTGGGGAATCTCCCGATCTATTTAGTATAAGGCAAATTGTTGACCAAAAATGATTCAATGATCATCTCATGGCCTGGTTTTGAAGTTAAGGATGTGTTCTTACTCTATTTAAACTGAGTATTGGAGACTTTAAAAGCCTGTGTGTTTCTAACATTACATTATGAGTACTTCATTAAACATGTACCTGTCAGAAGAGTTGATTTAGCCTCCGATGATTGTCCTCCCGCTGAATAAGGTTTTAAAATGATCGTGTCTGATATGTCACTGTTATAAATACATACATGGCAGCTTATAAAACTGCGGCGAGGTACAAGGCTAAATTTGTCACTTTTATTAAATGTCAAATATTCTAACATAGTTGATATGTAGATGTATTCAAGGGAGCCTTGTTCTAGTGTCAAGCTCCATTCCGTGAGTCTAGACTGAAGGAGTGCGGAGGTAAAGCACATATACACATTATGACAGCTATCCTAGCTGTTCTCCTACCCACTAATGGCTACCTTTACCTATTGTATGGATGGCTCAGCATCACAAAATTATACCAAAAACAGGTATTATGTTTGCCTATGTCTTATTTTCAGATTTCAATCATTTTAATTTTTATGATTTGATTCTATCCAGTACCCAGAATTAAGCATGGGGTGCTTATATTAGATATTGTGATATCTGTTGGATTAAGCATGGGCTACTTATTTTTAAATCTTCGGCAAGTTTTGACAGATAGTAATTCATTGATCATGATTGCAAAGTGTGCTAACTAGGGTTCATGACATATAATAAACCTATCAGAAATGCTTTTTCCCCAATAATTTGAATTTGTTGTTAAGTTTCTGGTGGTCTTGTTATTGTTGATCTGTTGTATTTAGTTATTTTGTTTATATATAATTTCTCTTTTGTATTTTCAGATCTCAACCAATGCAAAATGCTGAGACTGGACCAAAAGACTCTAGTTATCTTCCATATTTGAAAAATCAACACATTAAAATCAGCAGCAGCCTCAATATGGATCAGCCTGTGGCCCCAGTGGCTTCCCAGAATGCTTCCAACAGGAAGTCTCTAACCCTAACACAGATACTGCTGCTGAACGCTGTGGTGTGCGGGGTGGAGGTCTGTGCCTGTTCAGGGTTCACTTACATCCCACCTATGTTATTGAAAGCAGGTTACACTGAGGAAAACATGAGTATTATACTGGGGATGGGGCCATTGCTTGGCTTCTTTTTTGTACCTATAATTGGCCGCGCTAGTGACCGTTGTCGGAGTAAATATGGACGCCGCCGGCCGTTCATCCTCGCTCTGGCCGTTTTAATCATTGCTTCTCTACTTATGATACCATATGGAGATTATTTTAGTACTGCTTTCCTGGGCAACACACCCCTTAGTAAATCTGTATCATTAGGTATTCTCACATTGAGTGTTGTCCTGTTAGACTTTACAAGTCAAGCATGCTTGACACCCTGTGAGGCACTGCTTTCTGATGCATCAAAGGGAACAGACCAGCAAGACCGGGTATTCATGGTGTACTCACAGATGGTCAGTTTGGGCGGATTCCTCGGCTATCTCATCACAGCCATAGATTGGAGTGACACTTACATTGGTAGCTTTTTCGGCACACAAGAAAGGTCTGTGTTTACGTTACTTGTGATAATATTTTTGTTTCTTCTTACTACAACAGTACTAGTAGCACAAGAACAGCCGTTATCAGTGGCAGAGGAAACTGAGGCTGAGAATTTAATCTCAACAGAAGATTCTGCAAACGTATCTGTCACAGTGGGCAATGGAGGTGCATTTGAATCCGGGTATGAATCAAGTGGCTCGGAAGACGGCCAACAAAGCCCAGCATCCTATTCTCCAGGAAAGTCGGGAAGGAATGGCAAATCTTTAAAGAAGAAACGCTCTTTATTTAGGAACCCTTTGAGGGTTTTTCTTTTCTTTATTAGTCCTTTTCTGTGTGTGGGGCGCTTGAGAATATTTACATATTTTTATAATTTATTGAAATTTATATGGTTAAATATATACGACAGACTGCCAGAATCTCTACGCAGAATGCTTGATGTTCCGATAGTGCTACAAAAATTAGCAATTGCAGACTTCTTCAGCTGGACTGCGTTGATGGGCTTTAATTTATTTTTCACAGACTTTGTAGGTCAAGCTGTTTATCAGGGCAACCCAAACGCCCCTGAAAATTCCTATCTACGCAATCGCTATGACGAAGGAGTGCGCATGGGCAGCTGGGGCCTGCTGTTTCATTGTATAACCTCCACAAGTTATGCATTTTTCATTGAAGGCCTCATGAAAAAGTACGGTACACGGCAGACATACCTGTGTGGGATGTGTGTATTTTCTATGTCCATGTTAGGTATGGTGATTTACAAACACATCATCTTTGTGAACCTGATGGCGTCAATGACGGGATTCGCCTACGCCACGTTAACCACCATTCCTTTTATCCTGGTCACAAAATATCATTCTAACAAGGAGGTGAGAGTCGTTCAAACTGAATCTCTCTTCATCATGCATGCATCTAAACGGTGTTATAAAAAAAAGGTTCTTATAAATGGACATTACTGATCTATCTAGTATTGGTTTTGTTAACTGCCTCCAGTAATTTCACATTCTCCTATTTCAAGGCAAATTCTACCTAAAATGGCTCAGTTATATAATTGTTTCCATGTGAAAGTTAACCGCAGGTTCAGTCTATAAAAGAAATGAGTGAAGAACAACTTCGGACTATACTTAAAAATAAAGAGTAAATTTGTTGATTATATTAAATCAAAATCTTTTTTTATTGTTTTGTTTTTGCCTTTTGAACGTGAGAGCAAATTCACATATTTATCAAAAATATGGGACTGTTGAATGTAAGATTGATTAACTGTGATTAATTGTGGATCTTTGTTACCATTGCAGGTTTACTTTGCTGACACAGTGACTCCAGGTCCGCACGGCCTACCTGGGGGTCAGGGTGTGGCCACGCGTGGTATTGCCACAGATATGGCCGTACTAGACAGTTCCTACTTTCTATCCCAGGTTATACTGTCGGCCATCATGGGTTACATTGTCCACATCACAGGGACAGTCACGTCCTACATTCTGACTGCTGGTGCAATGGGAGTAATCAGTTGTTTCCTAGTAATGCAGATAGTCACCAGCAAACAGGAAATGCAGCGTCAGGTTTACAGGCACCGGGACAGGAGACGTACCATTAACTTGTAGGGGAGACAGGAGGTGGTGTACCATTAACATGTAAAGCATAAGAGACGTACCATTAACTTGTAGGGGAGACAGGAGGTGATGTACCATTAACATGTAAAGTATAAGAGACGTACCATTAACTTGTAGGGGAGACAGGAGGTGGTGTACCATTAACATGTAGAGCCATACTATTTACTTGTAGGGGGGATAGGAAGTTGAAGGGTGACATTAAAGTAGTCTACTTCAGGGGGAGGTAATGCAGGTCGACAGGCAGCTCACATGGTCTGTAGCTTTATAAATAGAGGCAAACTACTTCAGGGGAGAAAATTGGGATAAACAGTCAGGTAGTCAGTAGATGCCAATTTATGGCCCTTAGCAAGTTGTCATTGTAGCCAGAATCATTCTTCAAGTAATATACTGATAGGGTCAGTAAACTGGTTCATTTCTATAAACTACACAATTGTAAGTTATTGATAATGTTCAGATTTGTAAGAAACAGTGCTAGAAATGCATTTACACATTTTAAACCCTAACACATTGTTTAGAGTGGATCTGTGTTACCCCTAATGTTCTGTTTGTGTGTGTATCCTGGAAAGCCCCGTGTCTATGGCACAGCAGGTCTTCTTTTGCAGTACTCCGAGTATTAATGTGTAGAAGCTTTATATGCGAGTTTTTAATGTAATTATGGTTGTTGTTGCTTTCTCTTTTTAAAATATTTTATTCTATGCATTTGTTTTACAAAAACTTTACAACAAGATCTATGTATTCAAACACCACAATACGTATTCAGAAGTCTAGAACAAATTGAGAATATCACTTCTTTTAATATTGAAATCGGGCAATAATTTGTTTCCCTTTTCTGATTGTTTTTTCATCCTATTTCACCTTTTTTTTTGGTCAAAATTTAAAATTGTAGGATTCAATTGCAATATTCACACGTGTCCATGCATTCAATAATCTGAAATGTGATAACCCGGGAAGTGTGTTTTGTTTCCAGTTTAAGATGAATATGAGGACAGACGGGAATGATTTATTAAATCAACAAGGCTTCCAGGAGTTCAAAAATAATGTCAATTTGACAGAATACTAGTGTTTGTAACCATTTTCTTTAGATTGGTAAATATGGATTGTAGAAAGTTTATGTAGCATAATGAGCAAAATGTGATGACTGATACAGTATGTACTGTGAAACTTTCATCAGAGATTTATGCAGAACAACCGGTTTGTCCCACAGACTTTGAAGGGCTTCTTTAATTATGAATAACGAGTAGGCAGGGTAGTGATGTTTGGCCAATAGCATGCTGGTTTGCAGTAATGCTTTTAATGAGAATAGCTTGTCATGATTGCTTAAATACTCTGTGAGCAATACAGGTCCTCTAGGCCTCTTGTTAAATTGTTTTCTACAGTCTCCTAATGTTTTTGAAAAATCAGAAAAAGTCTTCCTAAAAAAAACAGGTGACTTGGCATGTATAAACAATTATAATCTCTTTGTCAGTCTAATCATTATGTAGTGTGTAGAAAAATAAAATGGGTCCGTGAAAATTTTATTCTATAACAAATTATGCCTATAGCAAACTAATTTCATAGGTCCTCTGAGGTTCTTAACACTTTCACCCCTATGTAACTTTAATAAACTCTACCATGCATTGATCTGGGTAAGTCCATAATGGTCTTGTGAAAGGGTATAGTAACATGTTTTACCATATTATATACATAAAGAAAAAAACAATCACACCTGGTCTATGCTTCCTCGTTTGCAATCAATCTAAATGTTATATTCTTATGGAGTTGTGTATCAATGGTTTATAATTATCTATCAATTATGTTCTTTTATAAACAAGTTATTATTTTATCACTCATTATACATCACCGTGCTGAAATTTACTTCTGAACATTTAAAGGAATTGTGTGTCCTAGTTTTAATGTGTTGGTTATTATTAGCTCACCTGGTCCGAAGGACCAAGGTGAGCTTATGCCATACCGTGGCGTCCGTCATCCGTATGTCTGTCCGTACGTCAATTTCTTTAAACGACTTCTTCTTCTTAACTAACCACTGATGGGAATTTAACTAAATTTGACTGGAAGCATCCCTAGGTGGTGGGGATTCAAAATTGTACAAATGGTGTGGCTGACCCCCCAGGGGGCTGAGGGGCAGGGCTAAAAAGGGTTATTTGGCTATATTGATTTAAGCGACTTCTTCTCTGGAACTAAGAGATGGATATCAACCAAATTTGACTGGAAGCATCCCTAGGTGGTGAGATTTTGAAATTGTACAAATGGTGTAGCTGACCCCTCAGGGGGCTGAGGGCGGGGCCAAAAGGGGGCAATTTCTTCTGTAGAACTATGCCATGGATATCGATCATATTTGGTCGGAAGCATTCATGTGAGGCAGGGATTCAAAATTGTACAAATGGTGGGGCTGACCCCCCGGGCTAAGGGGTGGGGCTAAAAAACGTTTATTACTTGGAAATGGTTGAGATCCCCACCGTATAACCATATATACAATTGCTGAGTATAAAGAGAAGAATGCACATTTGCTTCCAGGATAGCTCTAGGGTCTGGCCCCCACCCTTGGAGACATAGTCACTGGGTCATAACTTTGAAACGGTTGAGATCCCCACCCCAGAACTATATATACAAATGCTGGGCATAAAGAGACGAATGCAGTCATGATGTTAGAATAGATCCTTGGGTCTGACCGAACCACTAGGCCTAGGGACCTAGTTTCTTGGTCACAGCTTGGACACAGTTGAGATCCCCAACCTGTAACCATATATACAATTGCTGAGTATAAAGAGATGAATGCACATATGCTTCCAGGATCGCTTTGGGGTCTGCCCCACCCTGGAGACTTAACCCCTGGGTCATAACTTTGAAATGGTTAAGATCCTCACCCCAAAACTACAATTGTTGGGCATAAAGAGACGAATGCAGTCATGATATTAGAATTGACCCCAGGGTCTGCCCCACCCTTGTAGACTTAACCCCTGGGTCATAACTTTGAAATGGTTGAGATCCCCACCCCAAAACTATAAATACAAAAACTGGGCAAAAAGAGACGAATGCAGTCATGATATAAGAATTGATCCTTGGGTCTGGCCACATCCCTAGGGACCTAGTTTCTGAGTCATAGCTTGGAAACAGTTGAGATCCCCACTCCATAACCATACATAAAATTGGTGGGCATGGAAAATCTAATACAGATATGCTACAAGGATTGGCCTTGGAGTCTAGCATATTTTGTCATGATTGCTTAGATATCCAGGTGAGCGATACAGGCCCTCTGGGCCTCTTGTTATAAATAGTATTGATTGTAAATTGACACGTTTTATCTGCGAGTATTTTTACTGTGCGGCATTCCTCGTCCTAATCAGTGGTTCATTCCTTCAATCTCGCCTGAAATGCCAAACAGCATGATTTTAAGATGAGATTTCTGAAGTGAAGGGTCTAGAACATTGATGTATTATGATTTATTGAAATATTTTATTTAATATTGGGATGAAGTATTATGCAATTAAAGTTCTATTACACATGTCCTAAGGACTAGCTTTTTGATGATTTCTCGGAAATATTTGACAGAATTTCAAGTTATCTCCTTCTCTGCCAAGTCATTCCAGTTGTTTTTTTAACTTATTTGAAATTTCTAACACTTTTTAATGCATATACATCTATTTAAAAAAGTTATGTAAATGTCATTTTCCTGTACAGTGTCTTTGTTGATGTACATTTATTTTGTCGATGAACATTTTGTAGTTACATATTTTATATTTACACCTATATTTTATCTGATTTTGTTGTTTTCCCGGAATGAATCATTGGGAATGATAAATGAGGTATAAATTGTGGAATACTATTGAATATTCATCAAAAGGCGACTCCTTGAGACGTGCTGATTGGACAGTAGTTCCCAGTTATATTGTAAAACTTTCATGTCTTCCATGATGTGCCGATCAAATGTATTAATCACCTGACACCCCATCCTCGATAATCTAGGCGTTCCGGTCACCTTCGCTCTCTGCACCCCTGGAATTTGTCATAGCAATAGCGAAGACTCAGCTTACAGCACCTTGTGGAAGAGACGAGAAGACTAGTCTGATCCTTTCATGTACATCAAAAGAATCTCACGTAATAGTAAATTGACTGGCTTTGAAGTCAGGTATCACTCTTCTGTAATCTTCAAAGGACAGTTGTAGCAGCCTAGCGATTGGTCAGGTTTTTACCCACGACCGATGAAATAGCTAGCTGCATGCCTTCAATTTTGCTGACATAGTCCAGAGGTGCAGAGAATGAAGTTGAGGGCAAAGCCTGGAGTATCGAGGATATGCCAACTCCCATGTTAGTGCTTTGAACACGCCCGTGTTATATTTTTTGTCATGTTTATGTATCACTTAATGAATTATTAATGCTCTGTTAGGACTACACATGTGACTTTAAAATTGAGGTTGAAAACTTGGCTAAAAATGATCAGAGAAAATGTTTCAGTTTATAAGCTTAAATACTTGGTTATGTGATAAAATATATCTTAATTCAGTTTCCATTTCTTATGTCCCAAAGTTTTCATTTTAGTTTGGCACAAGCTTAAGCTAGCTGAAATGAAAACTTTCAGACTTTTTTCATAAACTTCCTAGTAAGTCACATTTTCCCTTCTTGGCCCCATCCAAGTAGGGGCCACACCCTTCATTCATTCTGTTCCTGAGTAGGGATGTTCCATGCCAAATTAGATTGAAATCCCTTATTTTAAAATAAGGAATAGTACTTGACATATAAACTCTTTTCCAGTATTTTTGTTTTGGACTCCACCATTTTGTTCCAAGAATTTTATGCCAAATAAGGTCAAAATCTGCTCACCCGTACTTAAGAAGTAGTCTTTTTAACCCAGTTTTAGCCTTTAAGGTCCACCTTTATCGAAGAAAGACTACATTCGTCATTATACCATATCAGTTTCCCTTTGCTGTTGTACGGCATAGTACGCTCATTTGGGCTTTTTGGCTATGTGAGCTAAATTCAATCAATGCACGTCTTCTTTTAAATTGTACTTTCTATGCGAAATCATACTTTCAGTTATCACCATGGTTATTTACACTCAATAACAACTTATCTAACTGTTCCATCTCACTTGTTCAGTGCACAACGATCAAACGATTAAGGCAGATGCTAGAGTATCCTGCACTGGCTTGCACACCAGTGGTGTATTTTGAATCTGGTTGTAATATTTTACATTTTAAGCATGTATGGATATCATATACATTTTCTTTGGAGACAGTTATGACAAACCCATTATACTTGGTCGCTATTAACCACGTTTTTTATGATGCCAACAGAATTGTTACAATGTTACTTTGACATATTTTTTAAAACTGCCAACAATGTTTTTGTCCTATTTTATTATATTCAAATCATACCTTCAAAGCAGAACAAAAGTGTTGAAACCCATTTGTAGATCTTATGATGTTGAGCCAAGCTGTTGTTAACTACCAACTGTTGTTTATGTATTTTTTATGTTGATCATATTCAGATGACATCTTCAAAGTGAAACAAGTTTTTTTTAAACCAATTACTGGATGCACTAAGTGGCATGTTATGATGCTAGCCGATTGTTATAATGTTTATACTCGGACACTATCTTCAAACTGCCATCGCTATTGTTTGTTTTCTGTGTAAAACAGAAGCGTTGAATTATTAATCGAGTCTAGTAAGAATGTTGGTATCGATCAGGGTGGTGGTTCTTTATTCTGAAGCCCTCAATAATTGTTTGGCCCAATATTATTGGGGAGGCCATTATTCCTTAAGTTTAATGTTCCAAAGGACCAACAGCACACTTTTCTGACTACAATTTACAATGCCTTTGCATTTGATCTGGGACTTTGTTTTCGGGGGTCTATTGGTACATTCTGTTTCTGTATATAATATACTATATTGATATGTATATATACAAGAAGATTGAAATATTTATGATCACTTAATACCTAATTGTTTTTCTCCATTGAGGGATGTAGATTTGGACAGAATTCATTGTTTTAATATTTTTACCTGAGCAAGAATTGATATTTTGTTTTATTTTATCAAGGTTCAAATTTATTTTTGAATTAACATTTTTGGACTTACGACTATTGAACCTTCATAATATGGGGGATATTGCTGCCATTTGTATGTAGAATGGTGACTATGAATACATATCTGGTTCTCATCTATTTTCTGTAAGTGTGTGTAAATGTGACGATAAAGGATGGTGTGTACGAGATAAAGCATACTAGATATTTATAGATGTGAATGTGTGTTTATGTGAAAATGGGGATAATTTATGCAAGTTGAAGGTTGTGTTTGTGATAATTATCAAACATTGCAATGTTGAAATTCATTGAAATAACAAAATATAAACGCTTAGTTAAGGATAATCGATAGTGATTACACGTTCTGCTAAGCTGTACTAATTTCTGTTAACACTATCGTACGCTGGGATGTTATGTGCCAGATACACTGTTAACTCATTCTGTTATGCAACCTGCACCATTGTTATAAAAATACTGACGAGTACACATCACTTGTTTGTTGTTGATTAGAGACTTGTGTTGGAAAGACAACAGCTCTACGATCGTACAATAAATACCTAAACTACTCACGAGAGCTTTAATGTAATGACACTTTAATAACATGTATAAGTCCATTTGTAACAGCTAGCTTAAAGTGGGATAATTCAACAGCAATACTGGAATTCAAACTCGGGTCCTTTGGACTCTAGACAAACTCAGCTGAGCTGCCTTGTCACCATTGATCAACTCGGTACAGTCACAGCCTGAACAAAAATTATTCCAGGTGGACTTCAAAACGATTGACAGGTGGACAGTTTAGATGGATCTTTTTTCACCATATGCTTAAATAGATTCGAGATAAAATAAAAGAGGAATATTTACCATCGTATGGCATTGCCACTATATAACCCTACCAAGTTCAGTTGGCATTCATCTAGGCTATGAATGCCATGGACCGATTGTTGACGTCATCATTATTATGACGTCATGTTGGATACCACTGACCCTCTCTGGACAATGGCTGATCTATTCATTGAACAAGCATACACAACACATACATTATTTGAGCTAAATGCGTAACTATAATAAGTGTAATTGATTTTTTTACGAGATGAACAGATTCAAAAAATGGTAAATAAAAGTATTGAACTGCTTTCAGTTGGCATTCATAGGCAATATGAATTCCAACTGGACATGGGTAAATCCAACATGAAGCGCTAACCCGCTTCATTGAATTTGCCTTTGTCCAGTTGGCATTCATATTGCCTATGAATGCCAACTGAAAGCAGTTCAATGCTTAAACATTGGCCAAAATAATATTAACATATATAAATTAACAACATTTTTTATCCTTAATTGTTTTGTCTATAAACCTGATATCAAGTTTACTTCCGAAATGTGTATTAAGATTTTAAAGTCTTTCTGAAGGCCATCTAAAGATTCTGTCTGATATCGGCCTCAATACTCTGTTAGAAGTCTGACAAAATATTCTGTTCAAAGTCTGTCTGAGGATAGTGTCTTAAGTCCATCGAGTTCTACATTTCAACAATCGTAGCTAGATGCTGGAAATGAATAAGGAGCATAACTATAACAAATCACAGCTATAACTGTAATTCACAAGCAAGCTAATACCCTTCCTGTGTGAAGAAAACCTGTTGTATGTATTTTCATTTCAGGATAGTTCAGGATTTAATTTTGACAATTTGTAAAAAGGAGCTAAACTACTATCAAAATAATGAAAATCAAAAATAGATCGTAAGCACACAAAAAGTATTGATCATGGATCATATGTAGAAAGTTTCATAAAATATCAGTCAAATGGAAATTACAGTATTTTGGACAACATTTACAATTTGAAAATCAGGAGATGGCATAACTCCTGTTGAATAGTGGGAATACTAATTAAATGACAAGTGCACAATACAACCATATAGACAGCTGACATATCCAAAGTTTCATAAGTATCAGTGAAGAAGGTTATCAGTGGTACTATGGACAAAAATCTGTAAATAAATAAAACTATAAAGGAGCATAAGTTCTAGGAAAATCAGAAATAAAAATCCGGTCACAAGCAGTCACATCTACCCGAGTTAATTGTCAGTTAGTGAAACAAGTGTCTTACCGATTGGTCAAGATGTTAGCAGCATCACACCCGACACACTTCTGTCTACAGACAGACACCCTGATCCAGGTACATCTCCCTCTCCCTGTTGTGGGGAGTATCAAAATTTTACAGTACCAGTACGTGACTGTACAAGAGATTTTTTCTGCGAGTCTTTTGAATTTTCTTCAAAATAACAACCGAGTTAGAACATACTTCAAAGGCAAGATAACAATGATAACTGGCTGGTTGGGTCAGCTGGACTCAAAGTGGCTCAGTGGGCCATCTAAATTATCAATTAGTCAAATTATCCACCTCTCAGTTCGGGCAAATCTGTCCACCTACATTTAATTATCTACCTTACAGTTTAGACAGAAACCATTCTGACTAATGTTCAAATAAAGTCTGCCTAAATGTCATCATCTGCATAATTATAGGAAGGAATTCATCTGTCTGATGTTTGCCTGAAGTCTATATTGTCGGAAATCTCTGTCCAAAGGATTGTTAATTACTTTACATGTTTCTATGTACTTATTTTGAAACTAGGCTTTTAGATTTTCAAAAACTTGATTGAGAAGATGTTTTTTCTTAGCAGATAATTATTATGCATGGAATAAAATATCAGAGAAATGAATAATTAAATATGTAAATGAATCTCCCCACTAAGAAACATGAAAATTAATCTGTCACAGAAATAAAGGTAACTTTTTGTGTGAATATCAGACAAGATTAGGTGTCCACATGGAATACCTGGCCAAGGAATCACAAAACCTCGGAACTTGTAAGAAAATTCTCAAAATCCTATTAATTTTTTGGGGCCTTTTTTCAACAAAGGTTAAGAATTGTAAAATATTTCTGAATTAAGCATGAAAGTTACCTAACTTTAAAAAGTGTGAAGTGAATCCAACTCTAGAACATTTGACAAGAAATAGAATTTTTGATAATTAAATGGAGAACGTTAAGTAAGAATTTCCTGATAAATGGACCAGATATTTGCAGTAATGTTTTTTTTCTCTATAATTGCAAAAGAAAACAAGATCATAATCATTTGAATTTAACTTTTTTATTTCTTTGTCCTTGGTTGCAGCTGTTGAGTAAAAAGATGATTATCTCTCTTACACAACCTACATCTCTTCCTTGCACAGACACATTCAACAATCGTATACATACAATGTAGATTTAGAAATAAGGCTCATAAGTATTGCCAGTAAAAAATGTGTTCTATATACAAATCATATTTGTACAAAACATTTTTTCTGGACAGATGTCACAGTTATATACAACTGATGCTGTCACCAACATGAGTGACAGGTGTTTGCCGTGTTCACAAGGTAACAGAGCAAGTATCCCATGCAGCCAACTGATCCCTTTATGAATGAAACATCAAAAATTCTTCCACTTTTATCTTAAATACATAAACAATGGGTGTTTCAAAGACCAGGGCAACGACCAGATCTGAACCAACATACATGAAATAAATATAGCTGTTTGCTGAATCTTCTTTAACCCATTAATGTTAGCATTGAGGGTTGCATTTTTTCAGAAACAAATATTGGTACAAATGTAATTTAGATTTGATTGATTTTGACAACTGCTGACCCCTTTATGAATGAAACATCAGTAAAAAAAAATCCACTTCCATCATAAAAATAAAAACAATGCAGTGGCGGATCCAGAGACCTATCTGGGGG